GCCTGCAACCAAGGGCAAGCAAGCCAAACGTCCCGAGGACAAGAGCAAGCCTGCGAACGAGACCAAGGAGCACAAGGAATTCAAGGAGCAGAAAGAGGTCAAGGAATCCAAGGACGTCAAGGACGTCAAGGAATTAAGTCAACCCAAGGAGGCCGGCGTTGTGCCGCAGCCGCCAGCCAAGGCGGACGCCAGCAAGCCGCGACCTCGCCCTGCTTCGCGTGCAACGTCTATCACGCCGGCTGCCGGTCCTTCGTCACAGCCGCGCGAGTCGCCGCGCCGCGAGTCCAATGCGTCTGCTGTTTCCGCCGTGTCGCACACCAGCGCCACGTCTCTCCACGGTGGCGCCTCTGCTGACTCTGCTGCCCACCGTGGTGGCTACAGCGACCAGCGCAACGCCCGTCGTGGAGGCCGTGGTGGACGGGGTAAGATGGCTGTGCCGCGGAGCACTCGTCCATTCGGATACGGCAACAACGCGTTCCAGCCTGCGGCTGGCATGAATGTTCATGCTGCGGCTCAGGGCCCTTCGCCTGCGGTCCCACGGCAGAACCCGTACTACGGATACTCGGAGCCGGAGACTGACATTGAGACTATCAAGTGGTGGATGCGCACTCAAATGTAAGTGAAACGGAATCCGCGGAACTGTTTGCCATGTATATGCTAAACTCATTTTGTCTTTTCTTCTTTTGCGGTACTCAGTGAGTACTACTTTTCGGTCGAGAACTTGTGCCACGATATCTTTTTCCGCCGTCAAATGAACGCCACCAATGGTGGTGTGCCGATGGGTGTGGTTGCGGGCTTCAACCGCGTCCGGTCGCTTATCAACATGGCGAAGAACAAGAGTGTTACCGTCGACCACTCTGACCCAGCAGTTGTCGAGTCGTTTGCGTGGACCATCCAGCTTTTGAAGGCTGCGTGCGATGGCAGCGAGGTTGTGGAGATTTTCGATGAGTCTGGTGAGCATTTTGTCCGAAGAAAGGGCAACTGGGAGTTCTGGCTACTGCCCGGCGACACCGCGTCGGCGCCCGTTATTACTGCCGTCCAGCCGTCAGCCGAGACTCCCCTCGGCGAGGCTGCGTCTATCTTGAACGGCGTCAAGATTCCCACCCCACCCATGTCGCCCGCCGACGCAAACCAGAACCAAACCCAACAAACCCCAGATGCACCCGGCCACCCAAAAGAGGTTAGCCCAGCCGAGAGAGCTGGGCGATCTCTGGCAAAGGAGGGCGAGGAGGAGGACGGGGCTTGGAAGCAGGCGACCACGCGCCGCCGGACATCCAAAGTGCGCGGTGCATATGCCGGCGTCGTGCCGACGCCGCTGTCGTCGCGCAGCGGGAGCTTCAAGGATGTTGCGGAGGAGTCCCTTGCGGCTAGTGACAGCGATGAGTGGACTGGAGTCCAGATGAATGGACGTCGCAGGTTTAGCAATGCGGGCTTGCATGAGGAAGAGCAGTCTGTAAGCGAGGAGAGCGAGGATACTGATGAGGACAGCGATGACGAGGATCCCGACATTGTTGTTGTTGCTCGTCATATCCCGCTCAGCAAGACTACTGCAATTGTGCTCGACGGCGAAGAAGATGAATGGGCGGACATTGACGACGAGGATGTTGATGGCCTGCTTATTGTCACGCAGCGCAAGGCGTCTGGCTCTGACGAAGATTATGAGACGATTCTCATCACCCCGGGAAAGGGTAGCGCGCCGGGCCATCAGTTGGCGACCGCAGCGGCTGCGATCCTCACGCCGCAGAAAGCACCCGCCTCGTCTGTCGCCACACACCATCATCACAACCTCCCACCACGCAAGCACGCAACGGCGCCATTTGACCGCACGCGCGCGGACGAGGAGATTAACGAGATCATCAACGAAGGGCTTTACTACTACGAGCATGACTATCTTACGCCGAAGAAGCCCAAGAACAAGGTTCAGACTCTTGGCGGCGAAGAGTTTCGGCTGTTGCAGAACGGTCTGCTCAGCCCGGCGCGGACGTCATCTGATCACAGCGGAGACGGTTACTTTGACATGCCTGAGTTTGATGGCAAGAAGGGCCAGAAGACGCCGCGTACGCCGCGACGCTATTGGGAAGGCGCGACGAGTGCGAGCCCGCCGGTTGGGTATTTGATGAACCGTCTCGAAGCCGAGGCGGCAGCTGTGGCTGCGAGCGCGGCGGCGGCAGCATCGTCCTCGTCTGCGGCGGCGGCGGTGGCTGTCCCGACCCAGTCAGCTGCGGACAAGGCAGCGGAGGGCGATGAGGCGATACTGGGAACTAGCTTTAACGAGTTCCCGGTGTTCCAGCACCCGTCTTATGAACTGCTGAAGGAGAATGGGTTCATTCAGCACAAGTATTCAAAGTACCGCGCCAAGGCCATCAAGGGTGAGTTTAACAAGTTCCATATGGGCCTTTGTGGGTTCGTAGTGCGATTTCGTGATTTGCTGATTCGTTGTTCCTCTATCCCCCTCTTTCAGAGCGCAAGCGTCTGGGCCCTGGCCGTTCTCCAGAGATGAACACGCTGTTCCGCTTCTGGTCGCATTTCTTGCGTGACCATTTCAACGACCGGTTATACAAGGAGTTCCGCGCCGTTGCGCTTGCCGACTCGCAGGAGGGATACCGCTACGGACTGGAATGCCTGTACCGCTTCTACTCATACGGTCTCGAAAATCGGTTCCGCAAGGACCTGTTTGAGGACTTTGTGTCGCTTGTGCAGGAAGAGTATGTTGGGTCGCACGGCACCCAGCTCTACGGTCTTGAAAAGTTCTGGGCCTACCTCAAGTGGAGGAAGGACAAGACCAAGCGGCCGGAGGTGGACTGGGCGGTGGAAAACAACCGTGTGCTGGCGGATGCGCTTAAGCGCTTCCGCACCGTTGAGGACTTCCGTCGCGCGGCGGCAAAGACGGCCAATGGCGCGCAGACGGCGAAAAAGACGCACCCGAATGGTAACCACCACCAGCACCACCATCATCACAACCACAACCAGCATCAGCATCAGCAGCAGCAGCAACACCATGGCCACCAGCAGGCGGTGAATGGTAGCGCTAGCAGCCACTACAACCCTCATCAACACCAGCATCAAACGCATCCGCACAACCAACATCATCACCACAACAACAATCACCACCAGCAGGCGAACGGCTCTGCTTCGGCTGCCGCCGTTTCGGCCGCCACCGCGAGCAGCAAGCCGCGCGATGGCCGACGAAACGCCGGCAACAAACAGTCGAACGCGAGCCGAAACGGCCACAACAGCAACAGCGGCAGCAACAACAGCTCCCGCACGCGCCAGTCTGCACAGCCTGCTGCGCCGTTACCATCATCAGTTACGGAGGAGCGTGGCCTCTTTGAGATGGAGATGGAGTTCCCTCCTCTTGGTGCTTGAAGAACGAACAGCAGGGCTTTTCTGCCCATTGAGCTTTGACGTTGTGTGCTTGTGTTTATGTGTCATTTCTGCTGCCTGCGTGCCCCGCCCCCCTGACGTTTTTGCGCGGGGCGATAGAGTTCTCCCACCTTCGTATTTCCGGGAACATTTGGCTTGTCTTCTCTTTCTTGTGTTTCTTAGCTTATGCCCCCCACACATCCCCCTTTTCTTTTTCTTATGTTTGTTTCCTTTGTTTCGACCACATTCTTTCTTTTTCTTATCCCTGAGGTTCTCGTTTCCCCTTATCCCACACTCTCCCCCGGCTTTTTGGGTTTTTCCGGCTTCGCTTTCTTACCCCCAACACCCTGGCACTTCTTATAGAAAAAATCCGGCGTCCTCTTCGCACGCGCGTAACGACAGCGACCAAAAAAAATATATCTATGTATGATGTGGATTGGACCCTTTATTATTGCGAAAACAATCACTTCGCAAGCCTCGCCATGGTGACTCCCCTCAAGACCTTCAATGTATCTTAATAAATTTGTTTACATATTGAACCTAGCACGTCATCTCATCCCATCAAATAACAATGAAAATGTACCCTTTCAGCATTCATTGACGTGCAGCCGTAATTCGATCCCGTGGCCTTGTACCAGCACCAGGCGACCAGACCCCTTCGTTCCAGACCTCTTGGTTTCGTTTTGCTCTGGCATCTTGAGTGCATTCCAGATGGTCTCTCTGGAGTATATACAGCTTAGTAGGGTATGGACGTATCATTTTTATGATGATGCCCTTTATTTTCACCTCATGTTTGAGTTGGGCTCCTGCAGAAGACAACAGCGCGTCCGGACAAGACCCACGCAAAAGATCCTCAAGTCTTTGTGCGTCCTGGGTCTTTCTGTCCGTTACTCTCGAGATTGAGCCCGATTCCGTTGAGGGCCCATTTACCGCGTTCGTTGCAGTGTGAAAGGCCGCCTTTGGTGCTCATGTCGAGATCTTTCGAAAGAATGAATGTGTCCAGATGAGCGGGCTATACACCCCATTCAACATCCGTTAGTAAACAAGTGGCAGAAATAAAAAGGAGGGGTACTGTTAAGACGGCAAATCCAGATGTAGATGATTAACTGAGATTGCCTGGTATATCCCAGACCGGATCCATTGTCGTTTGGGTCTTGTTCTAGTCAGTGAGTCACAGTGACTCCGCACGCATTTTTTTACTCTGCAGATTTCCCTTCAGGATTCAGAAAATGGACGGATCTTTCCTCTTGCCTTTTGTTTTTATTCCCTTGCGAGCGAAAGACCTTCCTCATGGCAGTAGGTCGTGGCGATTCACTTTCACGTATGCATCCAGTAAATACCTCGTAGCCTACGACGTAGCAACCCGTCCTTTTAAAAGACTAAAGGTACACAGATAGCTGTTGCGCTGATTCGCTCTTGACTAAAAATGATACACGTTCTAAAACCTGCGGGGCAGCAATTTGACGTTGACCGAGAGATCATAAAACTCATATTGGGAGCACTATAAAAGATAGTGACCACTGCCCGTCAAAACTTTCCGCAGCCCCGCCCCCCATATGGGATCCCGCAAGATGTTGGATATCAGGACCTCTGGTCAAAAGAACGAATGCAAAAGAATACTTTGATGCTTGCTGTTGTGGCTTCACCCAGGATTGAACTGGGGACCTTTAGATCTTCAGTCTAACGCTCTCCCAACTGAGCTATAAAGCCAGGATTGATATGCGACGGCTAAAATTTTAGGTGAAACCATGATTGTGCGATGGCGTGTAGTGTGGTTCGGGTTGTGCCGTGGTGTGTCTAACAGCGAGTATGCTTTTTGATGTTGAACGTTGGGGTGTTATATGGAGGATGGAAAATATCGGCGCGGAGTGTGTGAGGCAGCATGTGACTCATCCGTCGCGTCAATCAAACGCGTTGCGCGCGAAAAGTGCGCTGTCACGTTCTCCACATTCATTCCAAGTGGACAGACAGGAACTCCCACGCAAAGCGATCTGCGAGCAACGCCCAAAAAAGCTTGCATCCTAAGCGATACGTCAACGGAAACAGAGCGAGTTGCTTGTCGTTCGCCGTCAGCCAAGCCAAAGGAACGAAGAATCAGTTTCACACGCGTTCTTACCCTTGCGCCAAAAATTAAAATGTTAGATGCCGGAATGGAATTACCCTTCCTGCCCGAGGCGAGACGCTTTCTTTTATCGCTTCTCCGACTTCGAGCGTGTGGATTCTCCGGATCCTATTTCATGGCAACCTGAAGGATGGGACAATGCTGCCCACGCTGCGGTCGACGACACTGTTGCGGAAAACGCTGAACTCATACCAGAGGCGACAAAGCTTATTGCAAAGCTAATGGTAGAGAATGCTGACTTAAAGCGTGCGACGGTAGAATACACCGAAGCCAGTGTGCAATAGACGAGATCTGAATTTGTTCTTTAATCCGCGCAGAACAAAGCCAAATGAGCGTGAGAAAAGATGGAGTACGACGATTGCCTGTGGTAATCCTAGCGGCGAGAAACTCGAAATGTGGCGAATATGTAAAAAATGTATGCAGTTCAACATAGCCCACACATGTTCTCATTCTTGCAAACGCGAGGCTGTCGAAAACCTCGCGCTCAAATACAATGTCATTGTGGGTTCTCTACCTGGAGCACGCTTTGCTGGGAACGACAACCGACCTGCGAAACAAAGCTGACGGGGAGGGAGCAATGTCTCGGCAACCGTCGGAATACACGCTGAGCGCAGAACAATTGTTCGAAGCTCAAAGCGCCCGACCTGGCACCTCTTTCCTCTAAGCGGCCATCGGAGGCTACATAACGATACCGGCGCTTGTAACATACGCTGAACCTTTTATGTGCGCAGTCGTTGCTTACACAAGCAGCCGCGCCACTGCGCAGCTAAATGCATTTTATCATCGTCATTTCCCACCTTCCCTCTTAGCACTCTTCTCGCAACTCGGCTCATTCTCCAGTAGCCCAGTAGGACCCTATGGCGTCGCCGTCGCCGTCGCACTCGATGCGATTACCATCAAGAGCAAGGCGACCACGCGGTCCGCCTCCGCCAACACACTGCTCTGCCGACAACCCACGCATTCAGGCCCTTGTCGCTGCCGACTCCGCCGCCAACGCCCCTCTCCTACCACCACCGCCAACCACTACAGCCGCCTCACGTCCTCTCCTCCGCAAATCTCGCTCCGCCCTCGACCCCTCATCCTCACCATCACCTTCACCCGCAGTCCACCCCACCCGCCTCGAGCGCGAAAGAACTCTCCTTGAAACAATCCTCCACATCCGCGACTCCTTACCCTTATCAATCCCGCCTTTGGTTCCCGTGCATCAGCTGCATGGCGCGCTAGGCCACGCGACATGCGATGACGAGATTGCGAAGTTGGAAGCTGTCCGGGCGGTGCGGAGGTTCAAAGTCGGGAATTTGGGCGAGATATGTGTGATGTTGGTGTGTGATTATGAGGATAGTATAAGGGCTGTTGCGAGTGCTTTTGCGAGTGAGCGGTGTAGTAAAGACAGTGGTGGTGGTGGGTGTAGTGCGGCGGCGGTGCGTGCACCGGATGGCCAGAGTCCGAATAAGAAAGTCGCTGTGCAAAAGGTTTCCGGGCGGAATATCGGCAACGACGTATTTGGTAAGAGCAGCGAAAAGGATTATTTTCGTCTCTCTGCCAGTCCCAATTAATCGTCTCTTGGTCCCCAGATCGATTCGCCACCTACGCAACAAGCCCCACAACCGGCCTATTCGTCACAAAGTCCCAGCTCAAGACCTCCATGCGCGCCACCGACGACGAAATCGGCGAGCTGTTTTCCTACGGGTTCTTGACGCTAAAAGACGTCGACACGTACTGGGTGTCTGTCCGCAATGCCGGCGTGTTTTGGTCCGGTTTTGCGCGAGGCAGGACAGAGGTGCTGCAGACGTTGAAGAAGCGCAAGCATGGCGAGATGCTTAAGGCTGTAAGTGCAGGCGCGACAAAGAAAGTAGGGCATATGCGATGTCGATGGAGTGCTGGTTACTCATTTTCTTATCATCTCTGCTTCGTTTTTCCTTTCGATAGCATTTAGAAGAAAAACCTCTGCGCGGGTGTGCCGTACCCGTTGATCTTGTTTTGCTTGATTTGTTGGGAAAAGGCAGTATTGAAAGGTATGAACTTCACACACAGATATTCCGCGGGTACGTATCTGGCTGGCTCACGCACCCTTTTTTCTGCATGTCTCACAGTCTGGACGCCCCGCTCGGCACCATGATACGTCTCAAAAAGCGTGGAACAGGAAGCTTGAACTGGACGTGAGTTCCAAGCGTACCCAGCGACATACTTGCCAGACGGAGGGCTCCTAATAGCTCCACCACTGGACTTGCTACAAGACCGCCTGGTCAGCCAAAGTCCGTTTCAGCGCCGCGATCTCCTTCCACTTTGAACAATCGAACCCGCAGACGCTTTGATGTCAGCATACTACATTGGGTCACCACTACGCAGGTCAATGGTTCTCTGAACAAAAAGTTGGCGACACAATCTGACGGGATCCGCTTGGCAGGTCTGAACATTTGTATCTCGAAAGGTTGTGCGGAAAGCAAAAAACCTGTTAAGCACTCCCCATGCCTGTTACTTAGCACCCCCCTGAATCCAACAATGTCGATAGCCCGCCGTGTTAGCGGGCGACCTGTGGCCCTTGCTGTCGCATGCTGTAAAGTGATAAGAGGAGTATAGAAACTTTCGAAACAGAGGTTCAATAGTATCAGTATATACAGAGGTACGAAAGAAAAAAGCACCACCACCCGCTATCCCCGCCGCTGTGTTTTCAGCAAGCCACAATCTGCTCAAGCTGCTTCAACGGGCGTGACGGTTGCGGCGACGGCAACGGCGCCCGCATCTTATCCCTCGGCCCACTATGAAACCGCTCCCGAAACGGCATTTCCACCGGTCTCTGCACATCCGGCGACAACATGAACGGCGCAACCATCACTACGCGACACGCTGGTCTCGCATTCTCAAACATCTCCCTCCCAGCATCCGTCACCAGCACGCAACCACGTAAATCCAACACTTTCAAGTCTGCCGCGAACCGCGCGAGATGTTTGACAGTGTGGTTGGTGAGCTTCTTGCATCCGCGGAGGGACAGGAAACGGAGTTTGCGGATGCTAGATGTGAAGAAGACGACCGCGGCGTCGGTGATGTGGTTGCAGAACGAGAAATCGAGGTGGGTGAAGGATTGGGTGCCGAGGGAGAGTTCGTACAGGCCGGCGTTGGTGAGGCGTTTGCAAAAGGTTAGGTCGAGGTGGGTGAGGTGTTTGTTGGAGGTGGCGAGCCATTTGAGGGAGCGGTCGGTGAGGCGGTCGCAGTCGGCGGCGTCAAAGATTTGGAGTGTGCTGTCAGAAAAGGCGGTGCAGAGAGATCAGATTTTGTGTTGAGTTTCCCTTGTCCAGTTTTTGTGCTTACCGGCAATAACGCACGACGCTAAACACCGATGCATCCGTCATGTTGATACACCTCCGAATTCTCAACACCCGCAGCTCAGTAATCCTCGCCAACATCGCCTCAAAATACTCGGACCCAATCTGCTTGCAATACCCCAGATCCAGCTCTTGCAAGTCATGCCACCTGTGCGACACCAGACACGCGCCCCGAATCTGCCCACAATAACTCAAATCCAACGCGTGCAACCGCGTCAAACTAGTCGCGAGATGCTGCAGCCCATCTTCGGTAAACTTCCAGCAATTCGACAACGACAACGCGCGGATGTTGGGACACAGCCGCGCGAGAATAACTAGCGCCGCGTCGTCGATTCGCCAGCAGGATTTGAGTGATACTGCCGCGAGGTGCTCCCCCGATAATTCCCAGAGCGTCATAAAGGTTTTGGGCGTTGCATAGGAGAAGAGTGGGTAGAAGTCAAGAGTGCGCCAGTGGACGGGATCCCGCATTTGGTTGTTCCAGCGGCGGCACAGGAGCCGCATTTTGAGACGGTCGAGTGGGTGTAGGTAGGCGACGATGCCGCGTAGAGGTGCGCCTTTCAGGTTTTGGAGTGTGAAGCGCTGGGCGGGGACTAAGCGAATCGAGCTTACTCCTTTTAGAGAGCTGGGGGCGGCGATGCTGGAGAGTCCGCTAGGGGAGAACTTATGTGGATCTTCGTCGTATTCTTCTGCCGGCGGAGTGTTGCGTATCGTGTCGGCGGACGTTTTGCCCGGATCGGCGTATTGAGCGAGCTTGCGTGCTGTCTTCGGAGATGGTGCGTCTTCTCCTGCTGCCGACCCAGGCGCTATCTGGTTGGAGCGGCTTTTGGAACTCCGGCGGAGCGACGACATGAAGCGCGAGATTTTGCCTGGTTTGTGCTGTTGCTCGTCCTTCGCGGCGGCCACATCGCTGCTCCCGCGACGTGAGCTTGCGGCAGCAGCAGCAGCAGAAGCATCATCTGTTGCACCTGCCGCGTGAGCGCTGCTACTTCCGCGCCGCGAGTCGTAGCCGGCGTTGATTTCCATACTTTCATGCGCGTCACCTCTTGCGCCGTGCGTCGGCTCTCCAACACGTGATAGCGTCAACCGCGGGCCCTGTACAGGAGCTACGGCGGGTGGACCTGGACCCGCCACAACCTCCCGCTCAGCACGAACACTCGCGATATTACTGCTCACACTTGACCCGGCGTCAGACATGATGCTCCCGCTGCCGCCGCGGACATCAGCAATCTTTGCCGCTTTCTTGCGCCGAAACAGTTTGTCGAAAT